ACAGTGATTACAGACACAGGAACACGGTAACCGCCACTGCCACAGTGTCTACAGACACAGGAACACGGTAACCGCCACTGCCACAGTGATTAGACACAGGAACACGGTAACTGCCACTGCCACAGTGTCTACAGACACAGGAACACAGTAAACACCACTGCCACAGCAACACAGTAAACACCACTGCCACAGTGCCTACGGATGCAGCAGGAACATGGATCTGTTATAACATTCACCGAAAAACGAGGACACAAAATCAACGTGTAACATGACTGCAGTGTAAGTAACAGAAGCCTAAACAGAACCCCAACCAGGTAGTATGAAGGATGGAAAGAGGCCCAAAAGGGAATCAAGGTGTTACCATTTAATACGGGGCCACTGATTTCTGTTTGTTTGCACTTTTTGCTTTTTCCTAGTTACTGATTCTTCCAATCCCTACAACGGACACATCGTAGGAATGTGTATGTGAACAATAGCAACAGATAAAAACACCTAAATAAACACCTAAATGTTTTTAAAAACATAAACCTTGGTACCGGTGAGGCCAGTGAGTGGATCACCTGAGGTCAGGAGTTCGAGACCAACTAGGCCAACATAGTGAAACCCCACCTTTACTAAAAATACAAAAATTAGCCAGGCATGATAGCAGGGGCCTACAATCCCAGCTACTCTGGAGGCTGAGGCAGGAGAATCGCTTGAACCTGGGAGGTGGGGGTTGCAGTGAGCCGAGATCACACCACTGCACTCCAGCCTGGGCAATAGAGCGAGACTCTGTCTCCAAAAAAATAAACAAAATAAAATATATAAACATACACACAATACACACACACACATAAGCTGATACAATAGCAAAAACCCTTTCAGATTGAAAAATATGCCATCCACATTTTATGGCCTGTTCTGGATTACTGCCTCGAGAATCTTGCAAATGCATCCACCTGTCGTCCCCCTGCCCCTCCCACAGGACCTAATCCAGTAGGGTCTGCACATCAGCATCCTACAAGGACGAAATATAAAGGAGGGCTCCACCACCTGTGTCTCTAAATGGGGCGGGACACTGCTCAGCAGCCTCTTCTCTGCAGTTCTAAATTTGATGAGCTAACTACCCCGTGACCTTGGACAAGCCAACCTTTTTAACTTCCTGACTCTATGGCTCTATCTGTAAAATGGGTCTGATTTAATGACAAAAATATAACCAGAATGTAGAGCAACAGGAACTGTGTCCACTACTGGAGGGGATGTCAACCTTTCTAACACTGTTCATGGGACCTAGTAAGAATGACCATGCATTTCCAGCAAGGAACTTTTCCTACAGTCTTCTACAAGTCATGAGTTCTAGACAAACTCCTGCATCACGAAGACAGGCATGAGACTTCAGCACAGCGCCATCTGCAGTTACATGAAACTCCTACCAGCAGTCAATCAACTGCAGAAGCATGAACCAACTGTGATGGAATCAAGCTCCTCGGCAGCGCTAATAAGCTCCAGCTGTATGCCTCCAAACAAAATGTGGAATGAAAAAAGTCACAAAAGAATACACTATGATTTCACTTATAAAAAATTTTTAAATAGCAAAATTAAACAATATATGGAAGAGAAGCAAGGGAATGCTTAATAGAAAATTCATACCAGCTGGTTGGCTGTTATGAAATCAGCCTACAAATGGGTTTCTAACATAAACATTCTGGTAACCTGAGTGTAGGTACATGGGTACTTCAATGATTCTTTAACTGTACAAATAAGTTTTATATATTCTTCCCATATTTATGCTGAATTTCACAGTTTACATTTAAAGAATATTTTTAAAATGTATAAACAGGCCAGGAGCAGTGACTCACGCCTGTAATCCCAGCAGCCTTTGGGAGGCCGAGGCAGGTAGATCACCTGCGGTCAGGAGTTCGAGATCAACCTGGCCAACATGGTGAAACCTCGTCTCTGCTAAAAATACAAAAATTAGCCGGGCATGATGGCGGTTGCCTGTAATCCCAGATACTCTGGAGGCTGAGGCAGGGGAATCGCCTGAACCCAGGAGGTGGAGGTTGCAGTGAGCCGAGATCACCCACTGCACTCCAGTCTGGGCGACAGAACGAGACTCCATCTCCAAAAAAACAAAAAATAAAATAAAATATATAAACATACACACAATACATACACACTAGCTAACACAACATCAAAACCCCTTTTCAAATTGAAAAAATGCCATCCACATTTTATGGCCTGCTGTGGATTACTGCCTCGAACCTTGCAAATGCATTCACCTGTCGCCCCCTGCCCCTCCTGCAGGGCCTAATGATGCGTGAAGTACATTTATTCTACTCTGCTGGCCTGCTCCATCTAGGACTCTTGGCAGCCCAGCCACTTGGGCATGCAAAGCCCTAAGCAGAGCCCACATGGGCTTAATCAGTAACTCTCTTGTTTAATAAAGTGCCCTTGCACCCCAGGGGTCGGCTCCGCGGCTGCCCAGGCTGCCTCCAGCACTCTGGGCAATTAAGAACCAAAGGTTTCCAATACATTCTGGGTTAAGAGGCAAGGAGACCTTGGGGAATGAGAATCACCTACTTAGGCGAGGTGGCATTTGGGTTCTGCTCTCTGCTTCACTTGCTTCACTGCCTACTCTTGAGCACACAGGGCAAGCTGAGGAAGGAACTGCCTTCAGGGACCCGTGAAATTGCAAGGGTTCCCCACATTTTTGGCTTTCGTCTTCACAAAAGGAAATTCATTTTGAAATGCAAAGTGACAAGCCTTCCGTGACACTACAGCTGTCCACTGCTCTCAGCACGTTCACCTTCCTGGCTACTCTAAAGTCAGCTCTCAGGTTAGGAACTTCAAGCTTCATTTTCCCCATCTGTAAAATGGGAGTGAAAAAAAATAGCTAGGCTGAGCACAGTGGCTCACGCCTGTAATCCCAGCACCTTGGGAGGCCGAGGCAGGTGGATCACTTGAGCCCAGGAGTTCAAGACCGGCCTGGGCAACATGGCAAAATGTTGTCTCTACAAAAAAAAAAAAAAAATTAGCCAGGTGTGGTTGGCACATGCCTGTGGTCCCAGTTACTCAGAAGGCTGAGGTAGGAGGGTCACCTGAGCTCAGGAAGTCAAGGCTGCACTGAGTCTAGCCATGACCGTGCTCTGACCTGGTTACAGAATGAAACAGTGTCTCAAAAAAAAAAAAAAGAAAGAAAGAAAGAAAAAAAGCTGGATTAGATTTGAATGTGATATAAAAGTAGCTCTGAATTGGTGACAAAAATAGCAAGGTGCAGATAAATGTACAGCTGGATGTTTGCTTCATGTTTTCATTTTTTTTTTTTTTTGAGATGGAGTCTTGCTCTGTCGCTCAGGCCTGAGTACAGTGGCATGATCTCAGCTCACTGAAACCTCCGCTTCCAGGGTTCAAGTGATTCTCCTGCCTCAGCCTCCTGAGTAGCTGGGATTACAGGTGCCCACCACACCTGACTAATTTTTGTGTTTTTAGTAGAGACGGGGTTTTGCCATGTTGGCCAGGCTGGTCTCAAACTCCTGACCTCAGGTGATTCACCCACCTCGGCCTCCCAAAGAGTGGGGATTACAGATGTGAGCCACTATGCCCAGCCTGCATGTTTAAAAAACCTACATCTACATACACTAGGGGCGCATACAGAGAGAAGAGCACAAAAAAATTACCTTGCAGAATCACACCAAACCTAATAACTTCCAGGAGAAAAAAATGAGGGCAGGTAAGGGTTTTTCACATTTGCCTTCTGCTGTTCTAAGTTAACTTCTTATACTAATTACAAATTACTTTGAATGTAAAAGGCAATAAAAATCCTGTGCTCTGTATAGCCCTGTGCCACCCAGGAGGGCTGTGGTACCTTCACCACTTGGCAGAGTGGTGAAAGTCTCTGCTCTCCTTTCCCACAAGCCACAGCCTCGCCATCACCTGCCCCCAAGTCCACTTCACCTCTCCCTGGGACCTGTCACCCACCCTGGGGGAATACCCCTCTCATGACCTGCAAGACTGAGATGAAGCGCTCATGAACATACAAGGGTTCTGGCAGTTGAAATGACAAGTGGTAAGAGGATTATTAATGTCAACCTATGAAATATACAAACCCTTCAAAGCGTGACGTTTTTATACATCCTGCTGAAATCTATTAAGATCTCTCTACCACTAACTTCCCAAAATAACAAGTGCCCGGCAGGTTCACGGTCAATGACAACACCCACTCCTTGTTTGTGTCTTCTGGCCCCTGCCACCGTTCTCTCACTTTGTCTGCACTACAGTCTGTTCCACAGGTACATGCATCCCTGTTTTGCAGATGTGGAAACTGTGGCACAGAGAGGTTCAGCAAATTTCCCCAAAGTCATTCACCAACTAGGAGGCAGTCCTGGACACCAGTCCAATTCCAAAGCCTGCATTTTCCTCTACTTTTCCCAGTCACTGTTTCAGTGCTCAGTGTCACTAGCTCAGGAACACTCTTGGCAGTGCCACCAGCAAAGGCAAGGACCAGGCATGGGAAGAAATGAATCAGTCTTAATCCACAAATGCTGTCCTTGTGTGCTACCACTCCTTTGCTGGTCCAGGGTGGGGCTCTATAATCCTCTACACAGAGGACTTCAGAGTTCCCCGAAGTGCTGGGGTCTGCTGGGGTCTCAGCTGGGGGCACACGGTCCCATCCCTGCTCTCACCAGCACAGCCCTGTTCAAAGGTCTCACTTCAGCCAGCCACAGTGGCTCACACCTGTAATCCCAACACTTTGGGAGGGCAAGGTGGGTGGATCACTTGAGCCCAGGAGTTTGAGACCAGCCTGGGCAACGTGGCAAAACCCTGTGTCTACAAAAAATCAGTCAGGCATGTTGGTGAGTGCCTGTAGTCCCAGCTACTCAAGAGCCTGAGATGGAAGGATAGCCTGAGCCTGGGAGGTGGAGGCTGCAGTGAGCTGAAATCACACCAGCCTGAGCAATACAGCAAGACCTTGTCTCACAAAAATTTAAAAAAAAAAAAAGGCTGGGTGTGGTGGCTCACGCCTACAATCCCAGTAGTTTGGGAGGCCGAGGCGGGCGGATTGCCTGAGCTCTCTGGAGTTTGAGACCAGCCTGGGCAACACGGTGAAACCCCGTCTCTACTAAAATACAAAAAAATTAGTCAGGCGTGGCAGTGTGTGCCTGTAGTCCCAGCTACTCAGGAGGCTGAGGCAGGAGAATTGCAAGAACCTGGGGGGTGGAGGTTGCAGTAAGCTGAGATGGCGCCATTGCACTCCAGCCTGGGTAACAGAGCGAGACTCTGTCCAAAAAAAAAAAAAAAAAAAAAAGTCAGGCATGGTGGCTCACACCTATAATCCCAGCACTTTGGGAGGCCGAGGCAGGAAGACTCCTTGAGCCCAAGAGTTCAAGACCAGCCTGGGCAATGCAGTGAGACCGTGTCTCCATTTTTTTTTAATACAAATTTTTAAATAAATAAATAAATAAAGGCTTGACTTCGGTAAGGGCTGGGAATCTGCAGGCTCATGGCTTGGGCCCTGCAGCTACAGTCCCTGGGTTCCCACCACAGCTCCACCCCGTACCCACTGTGTAACCAGAGGCAATTACTAAGCCTCTGTGCCTCAGTCCCCCATCTGTGAAATGGGATCATAATAGCACCCACGACACAGAGAGACAGGCAGGATTAAATGAGTCGCTATGTATACACTTAAAACAACAGCCAGGAGACAGTACACACTTGTGTTATTAGGTGGAAGGGGTCCAGTACGGAACAAACTTAAAAGCCTCTGTTCTACAACATGCAAGGAATGCCTTCGTCTGAATGTCAGCAAGCATATTCAACACCCCCTTCTTAGCCAGGGGTGGGGTCAGACACCTGGAGACCACAGTACCTGAGCCCTCTGCCAGCAGTTGCTTGTGCTCTGCACAGCCCTGTGCCACCCAGGAAGGCTGTGGACCCTTCACCACTTGGCAGAGTCCTCTGCTCTCCTCCCCTACAAGCCACAGCCTCACCATCACCTGCCCCTGAGTCCATTTCACCTTTCCCTGGAGCCTGTCAGCCACCCTGGGGGAATGCCACTCTCTCGACCTCTACAACCCTGATGTAAGCACTTGGGGCAGAGTGGAGTGTGTGCTCCAGGCTCCCACAGGGCACCCAGCCAAGGAAGGGTAAGGAGTGGCTACTCGGCATGTCAGCCATTCGGACCCAGACAGGGCCCCAGCACTCTCTCTTACCCCCGGACAGCCACAGCAGCAGGTGGCGTGCAGACCAACCTGTCTGTCACTCCCAAACCCAAGTGTGTTTCCAGGACAGGGGTTCTGAAGCTCCTCCCGGGGCGCAGAGAGCATTGTCAGGGCAGGCCGGGCAGCAGCGCTCACCTCGTTGCTCACCACCACATGGATGCCGGTGGGGCCCTGCCGGTAGACTCGGTGGATGTGCTGGGGGGAGATGCTGTACAGGCTCGCGATCTTCTCAATCAGCTCCAAGGTGGTCAGCTCTTCCAGGAAGATGGCGTGGTACACTGGGGGAGGGAGGACCAAGCATCGCTTTCCAAGTGGCCATTCCGTTAGCACGAGCCTGCCTGTGCCCTCCCACCCCCTCCTGAGAAAGCAGTAAGTCCTCTGTCAGGATGCCGTGCCCAGGGTAGCGGGGTGGGACCACGCTGCCACTCTCTTTGTTTTGTTTGGCAATGGAGGCTCCCTCCGTCACTCAGGCTGGAGTGCAGTGGCGCGACCTTGGCTCACTGCAACCTCCGCCTCCTGAGTTCAAGTGATTCTCCTGCCTCAGCCTCTCAAGTAGCTGGGATTACAAGTGTGCACCACCATGCCCTGCTAATTTTTGTATTTTTAGCAGAAACAGGATTTTACCATGTTAGCCAGGCTGGTTGTGAATTCCTGACCTCAGGCGATGCGCTCACGTTGGCCTCCCAAAGTGCTAGGATGACAGGTGTGAACCACCATACCCAGCAGGCTGCTACTCTTGATTCCTCTCAGTCTCTTTTGGGGTGCTTATGTGAAACGCAGAGATCACCTAGACCCATCCCGGGCCCAGTGACATCCAGCTGGGCTGAAGGGAAGTCAGGCAATTCTGACATGCAGCCAGATATGAACCCACTTCAGAAGAAAGGAACAAATCCTGTCCCTTTTCAGCTCTTTTCGCTGTTTAAAGGGTTGTTGGGTAACTGGAGGTCAATGAATGAAAGTTAAAAGGAACTATTACTTGACAGCAGAAAGAAGGCCTGGTCTTTGTCCCTCCCCGCAACACAAACCATACTCAGCCCGAGCACAGTGACCCTAAGGAAAGAAGGGGGCACCAGGAGGCCACCGCAGTGTCAGCAAGTCGGAAGATAACAGTGACACTGGCACAGACCCAGCCTGCACCAGCTGGGCAGGAGCAAAGGCCACCGCAACCCAGGGTGCGTTACTCAATTTCAAAGGACCTCGAGTTCCTCAAAAGCAAATGCAATTGCATTAAATTGAAGGTTCTCAAGCCTTTCCCTCACCTGAGAAACCCTTGGTTCAACAAACCTGATCAGAGGCCCAATATTTTAAAAGCAGGCATAGGTGGGCATGGTGGCTCATGCCTATAATCCCAGCACTCTGGGTGGCCAAGGCAGGCGGATCTCTGGAGCGCAGGAGTTTGAGACCAGCCTGGGCAACAGAGTGAGACTCCATCTCTATAAAAACATACAAGAATTAGCCAGGTGTGGTGGTGTGCACCTGTGGTCCCAGCAACTCGGGGAGATGAGGCAAGAGGATGACTTGAGCCCAGGAGGCTGAGGATACAGTGAGTCAGGGATGCACCACAGCCCTCCAGCCTGGGTGACAGACCCTGTCTCACAAAAAACCACACACACAGGGTGGTTCTGTGAGAAGAGGGTGGCAGAGGCCACAGGGTTCCAGCTACTCACCAGATCCTGACCACAGTGAGATCGCCATGCACTGTGCAGAGTTCCTTCCAATATGAAACCAGGTGAGAAGCCCAGCCCTCTGTGCTAAGATTCCTTTTTTGTAAGAGAATTCTAATTGTTCATTTTTCTTTTTCAACTGTTCCAAGCCAGTTTTACTTTTTCTAATTTTATTCCTTCTTTATCCTTTTTTTTTTTTCTTTTTCTTCCTGAGATGGAGTCTCACTCTGTTGCCCAGGCTGGAGTGCAGTGGCATAATCTCGGCTCACTGCAACCTCTGCCTCCCGGGTTCAAGTGATTCTCCTGCCTCAGCCTCCAGAATAGCTGGGATTACAGACGCCACCATGCTTGGCTAATTTTTGTATTTTTTTAGTAGAGATGGGGTTTCAGTTCGAGGCTGGTCTCGAACTCCTGAACTCAAGTGATCTGCCCACCTCGGCCTCCCAAAGTGCTGGGGTTATATGCATGAGCCACTGCAACTGGCCTACTTTTTCAATATTTAGAGATGGGGTCTTGCTATGTTGCCCAGGCTGGCCTTGAACTCCTGGTCTCAAGCAATCCTCCTACCTCCCCAGGTGCTGGAATTATAGGCGTGAACCATCACACCCAGCCATAATTTTGCTCCTAAAACAAACCAAACTGCTAGCAAAAAGAAGTAGCAGGAGCCCAGGCTGGCACCTTTCACCATGGCCACTGGGAGTGCTCAGTGGCAGCAGGGAGGCCGACAGCCACACCTCTGAGGTTCTCCAGAGCCTCCTCTCATTAAGAGCTGTGTAGGGAGCAGTGTGGGGAAACAAAATGCTCCAGAGTGGGCCTTCCTGGCTCTAATCCTGACTGCCACTCACTGGAAGCAAGACCTGGGGCAATCCCAATACCTTTCCAAGCCTCAGGGTGTGCACTGGGGCAGTGTCCACGCTGCAGGGTCAGACCATGCACCATGCAAGGAGCATGCACTGGGCTGCCCTTTCCACATGTGGGGATGTGGGAGCCCCAGGCTGTCCTGCACCATTCACTGGAAATGAACAGAGGCTGGACCGCGGGTTCAAAAGTGGCTGCCGGGCCCAATGTGTGGGTCCCAGCTCTGCTCCCCACAACTCACCACACAGGCTGCTGTCTCCACTGCCCTCCCGCTTCTGCTGCAGGGGCACTCGGTTCTGCTCCAGCTCCTGGCAGACATAAATGGTCATCTTTGGCCTCACATTCCTGGCAGGAGAAGAGAAAAATACAGAGTAGGTGTGGTGGACCAAGCGTGTCTGTTTCAGAACATTCCACGATGGAAACAACAGTGTGCAGAACTCGGGGAGGAAAAAAGACAGCAGTGGGGACGCGGAGTGGCTGTCATGGGGCGGTGGATGATCCTCCCAGGTCCCACAGCCTGCCCAGGGGTACTCTGCCCCAGAACACGAAGTTCAACGTACGAGACATTTTCAGGCAGCAATTAGAGCGAGCACTGTCTGTGGCTTGCTGTGCACCAAGTACTGTTCTCAGAACATGCATACTCATTTCATCCTCACACAACCTGCGAGGGAGCTAGGACCATCGCTCTCATTTCACATTTGAGGAAACTGAGGCTCGCAGGGCTAAGGGCTTTCCCTTCACTGCACAGCACCTTAGAGGCAGATCTGGGACTCCAAACTTGGCTCTCACTCTGAAACCATGATGCCCATGTGTGGCTATTAAAACTTAAATTCACTGAAGTTAAATAAAAATTTCACCGATCACGTCAGTCTCACGTGGTCAGCTCCACAGCCACACGTGGTCAGCATGGCTGCGAACACCTCTGCCGTGGCAGGAAGGTCTGCAGGACAGCGCTGCTCTGGAGTCTGCCCTGAAACTGCTGCATGCCATCTGACCAGCCCCAGTCCACAGCTCCCCTCAGGGAGGGGACAGCCGAGACCCAGGATCACACGAGCATGTGAGAACTTGGGCAAGTGGCTCAGAGGCCAAGATCCAGAGGCCAAGGTTCTCATCCAACCAAGAAGAGGGAGGGGTCTCCAGGCAGGGTCTGCAGCAGCCGGCCACATGGGCCACATCTCCCACTGCAGTGTCTCACATCCCTGCTGCGGCCTGGGCCCCTCTTGCCACACCTCCTCCTATTCTTGACCCCACATTTCAGGAGCCCTGTCCCCGCCAGCCAGACCACCCACCATCCAAGAGGATGAGGTAGGCGCTTCCCGCCAGATGCCACGTACACAGCTTTCGGCTGGCTTCCCAGAGAAACCAACACCTACCGGCCTTTGATGGCATTGAAGAGCCGGATCCCATCTGCAGGACCACAGATCTGAACCAAATCATCACGTGACATCTTCAGCAAGTCTGCACCTAAGCAGGAAGACAGGGACACCTGTTACATGGAGCACAGAGAAAGGACTCTGTCTCCAAGCACCTGCAGACCGAAGAGCACTGGGGGAGGGGGTGGGGAAGAGCCAGCTGCACCTGTGGTAGGCACCAGACATCTCATAGAGAGAAAATGGCAAAACGCTCAACACATCAGAAGATCGATCACAGCCCAGGAATTGCCAGTGCTCGCAACAGTGAGCAGAACAGGTTCCCACTGCCTGTCCCCCTTTCTTTTCTTTTCTTTTCTTTTTTTTTTTTTTTTTTTTGGAGAAGGCTCCCTCTGTCTTCCAGGCTGGATTGCACTGGTGCCATCTCCACTCACTGCAACCTCTGCCTTCCAGGTTCAAGTGATTCTCCTGCCTCAGTCCCCCAGGTAGCTAGATTACAGGTGCCCGCCACCACACCTGGCTAATTTTTGTATTTTTAGCAAAGATGGGGTTTCACCATGTTGGCCAGACTGGTCTTGAACTCCTGACCCCTGGTGATCTGTCTGCCTCAGCCTCCCAAAGTGCTGGGATTACAGATGCCTAGTCTTTTTTGTTTGTTTGTTTTTTAAGAGACAAGGTCTCTCTATATTGCCTAGGCTGGTTGGTCTTGAACTCCTTAGCTCAAGCAATCCACCACCTCAGCCTCTCAAAGTACTGAGATTACAGATGTAAGCCACTGAGTCTGGCCTCTTCTCTTTTTCTTTGACATAAAATCAGTATGCATAGATGTCATCAGCACAGGACACTGGCCATATGTGCATCTGTCTGTTTATGGAAGTACACGACTCACTGGATGCTGACCATCTGAATAAACCCCTGTACCCAGCACTCAGAGCAAGCTGTGGAACATTACCAGCCTCCTGTAGGCCCCTCATGCCAGTTACCACCCCGCACCCATCCAGGGGAACCACTATCCTGACTTCCTACAGTGCAGACACGTTTTGCATTCTCTCTAAAGTTTCTGTACATGGAATTGAACAGTAGGCACTCTTCCTGGTCTGGCTTCCCTCTCTCCAAGTCGTGTTTCACGGGGTACTTGTGTTGAATGTAGTGACAGATTGCTCATGCCCATTATTATCTATCATCATTGTGTGACTACACCACAATCCACACACCCACTCTATGTGGATGGGCCCTGGGGGTGTTTCCGATCTGGGATGTTATACACAGGCTCTCTGAACGTTCTCACACACATCCTTGTTCATTACACACGTGCGTGTCTGCCGGGTGCAGCCCCGGAGAGGGCTGCCAGGTCACAGGGTGTGTTTCGTCCTGGCAGATACTGCCAACAGTTTCCCAGAGGCTCGCATTCACCTACAGTTCCACCGCAGCACGTGAGGATGGGGCCACATTTAAAGGAACAGAGGAAGGCAACTATCTCATGGGGATAGAAGCAGGCATGGTGTGAGGGCTGCCCGTTCCTCAAAGCCCAAGGGGTCCCCGAAAGCCTGGTCCCACAGACTCTGCAAGCTACTAGCACATCAGCCTCAGTCGAAAGCGTGCCCAAGGCCACAATTCCCACCCCCTCCCCCTGCCACAATAAGATACGGTTTTAGGGACAATTCTATAAACGCAACGGCTTCCTTTCCATTGGGAGTAAAAGTCAGAGTTCTTCCAGGGTCCCCATCCTGTCCGCGTCCCTTGGTGCCTCTCTGACCTCTCCTCCCTGGGCCCACTCCACTCCACCCCACCTGGGTCCTCTGCTGCGTGACCACACAGGCAGGAGCCCACATGGTGGCTGACTGCTCTACTTTAGACCATGGCTGGCACTCCTCCCCTCCTCCACCCAGTCCAGCTCAGGGTCCCCTCTGAACCCCCCACCCCAATCACACACGTCACACCACACTGAAATGAGCAAGTTCCACATCTGTACTGACTTACAGCTGCAAGCTCCCAAGGACAGGGGTCACTGTCTAACCCCACCAAGGGGCCTTCCTTCAACAGGCTCTCAGCACTCCTGAGCTGAGGATGCATGAGCGCTGTTTCTCTTCTACCGCCACAGATGTCTGTGGAACCCGCTCCTTTAGGTGTGGCCGAGCCTTTACTGTGTCACTGTGGATGAACTCTACTCGGCGGCAAGGCTCACTGCTCAGTTCACCTTTGCACCCCGCAATACCTGGCTTGGGACTTCTGTCTGAGGGCCCATTAGTAAGGGCTCTGAAACCATGTAAAGAAGGAAGAGCCCACTTTCTGTCTCATCTGTGGCCTCACCTCCATCTCCCAGGTCGTGGCTCTGGAGCTAGTGTGAGGAGCAGTACTTGGGTAGGAAAAGCATCAAGAGCTTTGCATCACCCTACTGGCCTAAGGGGACTATTCCTGGACAGACCAGAGCTCACCCTCCCCCAGAGGTGAGGGGATCTTGACTAAGTCACCCAGAAGGTCCCCATAAAGTCGCACTCACCCAGGACCTTCTGGGGGCAGCATCTCTTATGCCTAGCACTTGGCCCAGGGTTGGGCACGTGAGCGAGTGAACCCACACTACCCCGGGTCTCCCAGCTGAAACCACAGCGCTGCCTTGGTTGAGAGCAAGTCCTAGAAGGTGGCCGGCCTTGCTAAGTGTTTCCAAGATGCCCCCGGGCTTTAAACGCGATTCGGAGATGCTCACCTGAGAAGCTGGCAAAAAGCCGGGAGAACTGCGAGAACCTGTTGCGGTGGAGCCACTGCTGGGCATCCTGGATGGAGGCTGATGGGAGCAGGTGCTGCGGGCAGAGGGAACAGGCCTTGAGATGGCGGCTCAGGGACCACGAGGGACCACCAGCCAGAGAGCCCTGCTCAGACACTTACGTCACTGCCCACGGGCAGGGCCTCCACTGGGTGGGTCGGAGAGGTGTTGCTGCAAAGGAAAAGGAACCAGTGATGAGGACAGAGGGGACTCCCAGGGCCAAGGTCCTGGCACCCAGCCTGGTGCTCTTACTTCCCATCAGGTGCAGGACTTGTTCTAAGTGAAATGAGTCCTCAAGAATTTCCTGAGTCATAGAAACACAGTAGGAGCCAACGGCCAATCCCTCAAAATCCCTAACTGAGCCTTCGGTGTAGACAGGAAGTTCTGATAGGCTACACTGTCCCACCCAATGATACTCCTCTACCCCGAGTAATCAAGTAATCAGCAGCACATCCCAGGCCCCTGCTGGCTGACCCCTGCTGGCCTTAAACTTGGAGATTCAAGCCCCAGCCCCAGGGAAGGGCAGGCTGACCAAGGGCACCCAGTGCCTCAGCACCGGGAAGGCTGCTGTCAAACCCAAGGGTCCTCCACCAAACCCTTTGCCAGGTGGTGACAGGAGAGGACAGAGGAATCCCACGGGGAGTTATTTTGCAGGGAACAAGCACCCGCGGCTTGACATCCATCCACTGTTCTGTTTTCTCCCGAGAGGGGTACACATGCTTCCTCGGGGGCTGGCTTGGGGAGGAGGCACAGACCTGAGCGCTCTCCAGGTGAACGGTGGCGAGGGCCGCACAACAGTGTGAATGCACTTAATGCCACCAGACTGCACACTTAGAAATGGTAAATGTTGTGCTACGTGTATTTTTCCACAATGAGAAAATGAGACCCCCTTACAGGGCTGATCCCCAGACCAGGAATCAGTGAAGACAGCTGCCACTTTTCACCAGTGTCTACGGGGTGCAAACATCATACACTCATTCCTCCCGACTCTGTGGAATTATTATTCCCCTTTTGTAGCAGAGAAACTGAGGCTCAGAGAGGTTAAGGAAATTACCCCCCAAAAGGTACAGATTGAAGACTAGGTCTGCCTAAATCTAAATCTAACACTATTTCCATGTCAACCCCCACTCCCCCGGGGAACTCCTTGGTAAAATCAAGTTCACAGACAATCTCGCTGTCCCATTAGAAAAGCTCTGTTGCTAAGCATGAGCTCCGAGAAACCTGCAGCCAGATATCAGACAGCCTCCCACCTGGCGCTCCCCTGCCTCCACCCCTGCTGCCAGCACAGGGCAGGCAGAGCCATCATGGTGACCCACGGCCCACAGCCCACAAGAGTCAGGAAACTGCCTGCAGCTCCAGCACATCGCACGTCCTCAGGGTCCATGTGGCCTGTGTGTCTGCAGAGCTGTGTGGGATGGTAATGAAGCCAGTTTCTGTGCTGTAAGGCCTGAAACCCAAGGCAGGGATGACCCTAGCCAGACCCCCACACCCCCACACTCAGTGAATATGTGGGACAAAGAACCAGGAAGGGCCTCCTTAGGCTGCTTCCTAAGGCACCACTGTCAGGAGGGCCTTTCTGCCCCAGAGGGCACCAGAGGCTTGGCTGTCCCAATGCACCCTCAAGCCAGTCCTGATTACCAGGTAAGTTCTGGGCTGCTGCCTCACCTGACAATGTTTACAGGGGTGTTTCTGAGAACTACAAGTTGTGTAAAGGCTAACGACAGACGTGGCTTCAACACGAGTTGGCCACCCTGAAACCCACACAGAAAGGAGAGGAGACCTAGAAAGGAAGACTAAGAAAGGAAACTACACCTGTCTTCATTCCAGGGAACCCAAAGAAAGAAAGGTGGGACGTACCCTTCGCCGAGGCCAAAGCTGCTTGGAGAGCCATTGTAGCTTGGGGATGGGGCGCTGTTCACCTGGTAGGCCATGTCGGGCCATGGAGAGCACTGCAGGAGAAAGCACAGGGCCGAGCTGGATCTGGAGAGCTGCTGAGCTGCGCGCCGCCGGTCCTCCCAAGCAGGCATGCACTGAGACCAGCGCATGAGACCCCTGACCTGTCCAACGCAGCCCGCGTTTACCCACTGCCCTTAATGAGCCCCGGCCAGGCAGGTTACGAGGGCCACACGAAGGAAGCCAGCAAAAATGTTCAGTAAGTCACCCCTGGAGCAAGTGAGGCATGGAAGGGGTGTCTCTGGGCTTCGTGGCGGTAAACCCAGAGGGGAAACATCACAGCCACGTGATTGTTGGGTCCACGAAAGAGAAAAAACAAAACCAGCCAGTTGCCCAGAAACAGCTTTTCCTGGCAGAGACAAATTTCATGTAAATGCCTGTTCCAGGGAGCACCAGACCACAGGCAACTTCCAAAGAAAAATAAGCAGTGAGAGTCAGTATTAAAACCTGTGCTATCCGAAAAAGAACCTGCCGACAGGGGCAGAGGCTCTTGCACAATCACCAAAAGCAGCTCCTCTCAATGAAATTCGACGGACGTTCATTCCATTTCAGGCATTCTGCTGGGGGCTACGGGAGATATACAAACATGAAAGATGTGATCCCTGCCCTCAAAAACTTTCTAGTATGGAAGCCAAAAACAAATGCACGTGGAGTCTCCCAAAGGGAGCAAGGATTTGCAGGTTCTGCCTGCTGGAGCAAGTCCAGGCAGCTGGAAAACGGTCATCTCTTGCCTTCCCTTCAGTGACACCTCTTCAGAGAGGGCCAGTTTGAAGCATTCCTGAAGATTTACTAACACCCACCAAACTACCGGGTTGGTAAATATTTAAATGTTGAAAGTGTGGGCTCAAATTTGTTGGTGCTGAATCCTGCAGCCAAGGAGGAAAGCTGAACTGCTGAGAGAAGAGGCAGCAGGCCCCACCCAGGGTGGGCTTTCCAGCAACTACACAGTACTGTGGCAAAGGCTTGGACAGGCCTGGCATGCGGCTCACCAGGACCTCTGTTCCCAGGGGGAGACAGCTGAGCAACGGAGAGGGAGCAGCTCAGTTAGGGAGAGAACAGTATCAGGAGGTGGAGAACACTCTGGACAGTGTTACCAGCACTTTGGGAGCCTGAGGTGCGCAGATCATTTGAGGTCAGGAGATCGAGACCAGCTTGGCCAACATGGTGAAACCCCGTTTCGACCAAAAATACAAAAAAATGGCCGGGTGTGGTGGTGCACACCTGTAATCCCAGCACTTTGGGAGGCCAAGGCTGGCAGATCACGAGGTCAGGAGACTGACATCATCCTGGCCAACAAGGTGAAACCTCGTCTCTACTAAAAATACAAAAATATTAGCTGGGTATGGTGGTGTGCACCTGTAATCCCAGCTACTCAGGAGGCAGGAGAATCGCTTGAACTCATGTGGCAGAGGTTTCAGTGAGCCGAGATCATGCCACTGCACTGCAGCCTGGTGACAGAGGGAGACTCTGTCTCAAAAAAACAAACAAACAAAAAAATCAGCTGGGCGTGGTGATGCGTGCCTGTAATCCCAGCTACTGGGGGAGGCTGAGGCAGTAGAATCACTTGAACCCGGGAGACGGACTTTGCAGTGAGCCACAGAGATCATGCCACTGCACTCCAGCCTGGGTGACAGCAAGACTGTCTCAGACACACACAAAAAAACAGTAGATGGGGGAGAGGAAGAGCGAGCACTTCAGGAATTCCCATGGACATATGGAGGGCTGGAGCAGGCTGGCACTGCTGTCAGGATTAATAGAAAATGCAACCAGACAGCAAAATATCAAGTGTTACACCCTCCAACCCACAGATCCCACTGAGAATGGAAAGCTGCAGGTTCCTCCCATGCGCAGACCTCCGCATGCGGTTATTCACTGCACCACTGAAACTACAAGAGCCCAGAAATGACTCCGCAGCCACCAACAGGCCATCACACACCATGCCATGCAGCCAGGTAAGGAACGAGAACGCTGCAGGGAACAGGCACCAAGATGAGCTAATAATCGAAAAAAGCGAGGTGTGGCAATGTACACTGTTGGCGTATAAATACAGGAATGGGGCAAACATGTGTCTACACTGGCTTTACCTGCACAGAAAGTTGGGCCAGATACACAAGGTTTCTGCCCTGGAGGGGAGAAACCATGAGGCTGGGACAGCACTGGGAGGGATATTTTCTGTTGTACACTCTGTTGTACCTTTTGAATTTAAAACCATATGAATACATTACCTACTCAAAAAAAAAAAAAAAGTAACCTAATTTGGGAAAGCACAGATGCAATCAAAGGCAGCAGAGCTGGAAGTTATTTTTGAAACAGCTCCCGGGCCACTAGGCCTTATCAGATGAACACCAGCTCCAGACACTGGGACCCACCACAACGGAATAAGCGCTCTCAGAAGTACTCACCCGAGATGGGCGATTTTCCAGAAATCTAAACCAGCCCTTGGAGGCTCTGTCCCTGCACCCAGCCGGCTCACCTCTGTGAGGATGGTGGTTTCATAGGATGGCTGGTATTTCTCCTTCTCCTGGGCTGTTCTTTTCTCCATCTTCTCCCGGTCAGTCTTCTGTTTCCGATCAGCTCCCTTCGGCTACAAGCACAGAGTACAGAGTCCAATTAGTCCCAAACCAACAAAGGCCCCAGCCCCCTATCCCTCTCCTGCTTCCCACCTCACCCAGGGCCTTGGGGCACAGGGAGGAACACAGGGGCAGGAGGCACCTCTCTCCTCTGCCAATCCACCTGAACGCTTCCCCATCTGAGGAACTCAGAACCTGTCATGGGTTCTGCACTCTGCTGCTCATGGGGAAAAGATTGTTCCCATGGCCACTTGCTTATGAAAAGGAACCCTGGGGACCCACAAGGAATCCCAGTGCATTCCTTGGGTTACCCAGGTAGAGCCAAGGGAAGTGGAAGAAGTACAAGCTGCTGGTCTGGATTTAGTCTGTGCTTGCCACCTGTGAAATCCTGGCCATAAGCTGAAGGCCTCCTTCCCCCAACTCTCAGGGCTCCTGCTAAGCCCCCAGCTTATGCTCTGTCTGCAGGGGAACATTTCCATCCAGAGAGAGAGCCTGCCAGTCGTGGGTGCCCTGTCACCGGAGCAACTTACAAAGGGTGTGCAGGCCTCACGGCTATTATTATTCCCTTCATTTACAGAGTGGGAAACTGAGGCTCAAGGGGTTCATCAGGATCGGAGAGGATCCAAGTGACAGTGCCCAGTGTGCCGCACTGCAGGCTGGCCCCGCAGGTGCCACTATGGGGGGCCTTCTCAACCTCGCTATGTAGTCTCCTAGCATTTACACCTCAGGAGCTCGTGCCTACTCCGCAAAGTCAGATGTAACGACTGAGCAGCGCTAGAACTGAGCAGTTTTGTTATGCACCCAGCAGGCTACGTGTGGTGGGCAGGTAATGATAAAAGCGGTTCAAGCTCCATGGCACCTTCAGGGATTTTCATTCCAGGGGGCACCTTTCTCAGGCTTTTGGGTCCCCCATCAAGTGTTTTTAGGGAGCATCTCTTAGAGCAGGGGTCGTCAACCCCCTAGACCACTACTGGTCCCATGGCATGTTAAGGACTGGTCCCCACAGCGGGAGGTGAGTGAGCAGAGCTTCATCTTCATCATCATCTTTATAGCTGCTCCCCATTGCTCACATCACCACCTGAGCTCTGCCTCCTGCGCCGGACCAGTGGTGGCATTAGATTCTCATAGGAGCACAAACCCTATTGTGAATTGCACATGTAAGGGATCTAGGTTGCATGCTCCTTATGATGATCTGTCACTGTCCCCCCGTCACCCCTGTATGGGACCATCGAGTTAAAGGAAAGGCTCAGGGCTCCCACTGATTCTATATTGTGATGAGTTGTATAATGATTGCATTATATATGACAATACAATAACAACAGAAACAAAGTGCGCAATCAATGAAATGCACTTGAATCATCCCGAAACCATCCCCATCTCTTCCGTGGAAAAATGGTCTTTCACAAAGTCGGACCCTAATGCCAAAAAGGCTGGGGCCTCATTGCCTTGGAGTGATGCCTGCCTGGATGAAGCGGGGTGGCGGGGGTCATACAGGGATGCAAGTGACAGATCCACTGTCCTGGGTGAGAGTAGGGGTGTAGCAGTCATACCCCCATGACCTGGCCTCCCTGCTCCACCTCCAGCTCCTGTCCCTCAGGAGACCCCTCCTCCCTGCACAGAGGATACAGGCAAGGCGGGGTCACAGCCAGACCACAGCTGAGCCTGCACGTGGGCATGCACTGGGCCTTCATGAGGCCTGCAGGGAGCTGGTTGCTCAGAGACGAGCCCTGCCTTTCCCTTCAGTCCCAGGGAGGGGCTCCAACAAGCCAGGTTTCCCAGGAATGGGGGTGACCAGTGGAGGGAGGGGTGACAGGCAGCTTGGCTTGGCTCAGCCTGGCTCATGCACACCAACTGCATCTGTTCTGCGAATGGGGGCGGGCAAGTGGGAGGACACACCCCTGGCATTCTGAGGAGCCAGTTTTGGGTGACGAGGGGCTCCTGCCACCCCTGTTCCCTGCAGGAGGTGCCAAAGCCTTCCTCGGGGCACTGAGACCAGGAAGCTTCTGGCCCAACTCCCCAAGCAACGCCTGGTGTGGGTCAAGGAGCCTGGTAGACAGAGCCCCTACTCCTAAGCTTCTGACCCAAGGCGCAGAAGGGGTACACAGGGCACCCCATGGGGGTGGAGATGCCTATCTCATTTCTCTCCTACTGCCCAGGACAGCGTCTCCCCCAGGGCGCACACTTTGAGAGCAGCAGAACTAACCTGACATCCCAGGTGAGGGAGTGAATGGCTACCTGAAGGGGGCCAATGCTGGCAGACCAGAGACACAGTCTGTACATGGCGGGGGTGGACAGAGCAACAGTGAACTGCAGGCTAGACAAAGACCACAGCACACACCCATGCAGGACGGTCAGATCCCAGAGCGGGCAGAAATACCACCATGCCATGCCCACTGCTTGGTGGAGATGGCCCACAGATCAATGGCTCCCAAAGTTGGCTGTGTTAAAGTTAATTCCCAGAACCTGTGAATATGTCACCTAACACAGCAAACGGGGAATCAAGGTTTCAGATGGAATTGAGATTGCTACGTGAGGCCGGGTGCCTTGGCTCACGTCTGTAATCCCAGCACTTTGGGAGGTCAAGGTGGGTGGATCACGAGGTCAGGAGTTGGAGACCAGCCTGGCCAACATGATGAAACGCCATCTCTACTAAGAACACAAAAAAATTAGCCGGGCACGTTGGCACATGCCTGTAATCCCAGCTACTTGGGAGGCTGAGGCAGGAGAATCACTTGAACTCGGAAGGCAAGAGGTTCCAGTGAGCTGAGATCGTGCCACTACGCTCCAGCCCAGGTGACGACAGTGAGACTCCATCTCAAAAAAAAAAAGATTGCTACACAACTGACATAATAGGAAGACTATCTTGGATTAACTGGGGAGACCCCATGTAATCAATCACAGTGCCCTTAAAAAAGGAAGAGGGAGGTAGACGAGGAGGCTTGGGCGGCCATGTGAGAAGGACCCAGCCTGCTCCTGCTGGCTTTGAAGACAAAGGAGGAACCGTGAACCTAGAAATGGCTTTAGAAGCTGGAACAGGGAAAAGCCCCGTCGAGAGCCTCTGGAAAGGAACACAGGTCTGCTGGCATCTTCAGCCCAGTGAGGACCATTCCAGACTCTGACCGCCAGCACCGGAAGATAATCAATGCGCACTGCATAAGTCATGAAATCTGCGGCCATTTGTGACAGCAGCATAGGAAACAAGCACAGCTCCCCTTGGAGGCCACTGCTCTGGCAGGAAAGACAACACACATCCCTCCCACCCTGGCCCCCATCACTGACTGACCAAGGCGTCCCAATCCATGGAGCTGGGCCAGCGCCTCAGAACCCTGTGCCCACAACCCTCAGGCAGCCTGGCTGTGTGGTCTCCTGAGTGCAAACTGTCAGCTCATCCTCGGCTTCCTCTACTGCAGCTGTGACGGCGTATTCCCAGATCACAGCCCGGTGCTCACTGCAGACCAGGCTGTGAGAAATGGCACCATTCCCTGTCTCCCAGGGTTGCCACCAGGTTGATGGTTCAACCTGTGGGCATTTATTCCCACATCCGTTCCAAGCCTGGGTCTTCCACAGGCCCGTGCCTTCAGTCTGGGGGAAGATCAGCACACACCCAGATTTCTAATGGGCCCTGTCTAAAGCAACTCCCTCTGGGGTCTCCAGCTCTGGCAGATGAAACTTTCTCAGCAGGCTCCAAACTCACTTGGGAGTGAAACAAGAGAAAGATGGAATGAGCACCAGGGCTGGTTACTCAAGGCAATTCCTGCCCAGGAGGTAGGTCCACTCCTTCTCTGCAGATACCTGCTAGTGGCCTCGGCAGACAGGGCCTACAGGGGCTGGGGGCTAGGGGGCTGGACCTGCTTGAACATGGGCTGCCCTCACACCCTGAGAGTGATGCAGGCTCATGCAGCCCTCCACACCTCCCTGAGGCCACACAGGACACTGAGCTGTATTGCTGGCTACTATCTTCAGGAAATAATCAGTCCAGATGGAAGAGATGGAAACAGTGACAGGCGACTACAGGGAATGAAGCAAGGAAGGAAAAGGGAGACAGTGTCCCTGAAAATGTTTCTTTAACAGGAAGCCATTGCAAAGAGAAAAATGGCCTCAAGCCCTAAACAGGAAGATCCGAGGCCAGGTCTCCAGCAGGGAGGGACTCTTGCTTTGATTTTTAAGGAGAATCCAGATGTGAGCACCTGTGGGCAATTATAGTGTGCTTGGGAGAAAAAAAAAACCCTAAAATGTGCAAATTGAATCATTCTAATAGAGTCGCGCTGAGGACCCACAGCCAGAATGACCTCCATGCCGATGCTTCTGCCAGAAGCTGAGCAGGTGCTGCAGGTGACAAGATGCCCCCGGCAGGGCAGCAGCAGCCTGTGATGCCTGGACTTGCAGCCCTTGCTCACTCGGAGTCCAGGTAGAAGCCATGTGCTAAAGGGACGTTGTGTTCCTTGCTGGGCCTCTAAGAAGAGTCTCCAGAGTCTCTGCGGATGAATGTGACCACAGGCCAGGCCAGGAACAGGGCAGAGCAGGGCAGCGAAGCCATCTTACCTTGAACACCTTGATCTGGCAGCTGGCTGAGTGCAGGTGCTCCGTGTACTCCCCATTCTCATTCTGCTTAAACGTGTCAATCTGCACTCGAAAGGGCACTCCCTTCTCGCCCCCGTGCTTCCTGGGGGTGAATTCTGTGCTGATGCAGTGCACCTGGGAGCAGAAACGTTGGGCAGGTGGCAAGGAGGCACCCAGCAGGACCCTGGATCACCCACGTGCCCCCTCTATGTGGAGGTGTCCTTCCCTGCTTGGTCAATGCGGGCCTGTTACACCCTCCCTGCTCTCCCTGACACGTCCATCAGGCTGACGGCCTCCCTGCTCCCCTGCCTGCAAAAGACACATCCCCCACACACCTTTATCTCTTTACTGTGGAGGCTCTGCCTGACCAGCTAAGTCCCCACCACTCCCCCAAGCCACTGACCCTGATAACATCAACCTAACTCCTCACCCAGGTTTCTTTCCCTTGGCAAATCCTACACTGAGGGCCGGGACCACAGCACACCCTGACAGCTCTCTAATGTGTCCAAGCTACTCAGGCCAGGCTGGAAGCATAACCAGAAGGCTGGAACCATTTCTGTATTTCTGGTAGGTTCCTACTACATAAATGGCCCTCGATATCAATGTATTGTTATAATACTACGATCATATTATAAAAATCTAATCTATAATTGTAATAATAACTGTAATAATCATTTTAAAATATATTAAGAATATTGTAATTGTAAAAAAGAGAGACAAAGAAAAGATCGCTAACTTTTACGAAGTGATTCCTCGAGACTGGGCCTGTTAATGGCTCTGTATTCATTATCTGATTTAGAAGATGGGAGGTTGGAAAACTAAGAGTCTCAGAAAGGGGAGGAGGCACAGCAAGCGAGAGAGCCGGGATCGGGCCAGAACCACAACCACAACGCCACGGTCACGTCCTCCACCACCTCGATCTCACATGGCATATACACCAGGAACTGATAACAAAATTCATTCAACAATGGAAACTATAATAGAAAAAATGTTTACTTTCAAATGATTTATGTTGGAAAATACTCATTTTAAAAAAACTTATATATTCTTTTTTTTTTTTTCCCAAGATTTGTTTAAAGGAGCGTGAGGTAAAGGAAAAGGGATTATCAAGGATTATTATCAGGTTTCTGTTTTCTGAACAGCCAGGTAGGTGACAGCACAATGTATATGATAGGAAACACTAAGAAAGAATCAAAAAACTTATATATTCTATGGGCAAAACCCAGATAGAATTCTAAAACCTTCCAACTCCTTTCCCTAAATAGGGACCAACGAGCTCTGTTTGACTCTTCACAACACCCATTCTCTCTCTTTCCTGCAGTGACAGGGAGGAGAAGCTCATCCAGATGGGTGAGTTTTGGGAAACTGCAAACAGGCCACCCCGAAGACTAGGCCTTCCCCTAGGGGGCAGTTCCCTGCGGCCCACCTGAATGAATGCCGAAGCTCTCTTCGCAGGGTCCCACAAAAACTCGACGGCATTCAGCTGGGTCGGGCTGGCCCTGGGGTCCAAGATACCAACAGACAGTGGAATATCTGCATACACACACACATACACAAAAGTGCAATTGTCAGCCTCGCCCTAATATTTACGGAAGGACCCAATTACAGGTCCCAATTCCTTCACCCCGATTCCAAATGCCAAAAGCTCTGAAAAAGTTTTGCGTAACTTATTGGATGGAAAGCCTGACCTGAACCACAAGTGTTATGTTGTCTTCACCCTATTTTGTATGACTCATCTTTTTATTTTGCTACAGAAATCTGTGTGTGGCTGCCTGTTGGGGATGTTCCCTGATGCTCTGGGTACACACACCGTATTGTCATTCTAGCTTCTGAATTCCAAAACCCACCCGGCCCCAAGGATTATGGATAAAGGACTGTGGGCCGGTCCCTAAGCCCCTAGAATTCCCTTTCCATTGCCAATCTATCTCTGTGATGCTCACAGTTCTCTTCAATACTTACCACAATCCTATAAGGCACCATCCTTCTGCAGAGGCTTCCTGGAACTCCCTGTGAGCACGTCTCTAAATTCCACAGACCTTTTTTTTTTTTTTTTTTGAGACAGAGTTTCTATCTTGTTGCCCCAGGCTGGAGTGCAATGGCACAATCTCGGCTCACTGCAACCTCCACCTCCCGGGTTCAAGTGATTCTCCTGCCTTAGCTTCCCAAGTAGCGGGGATTACAGCTGTGTACAGCCTGACTAATTTTTGTGTTATTAGTAGAGACAGGGTTTCACCGTGTTGGCCAGGTTGGTCTCGAGCTCCAGACTTCAGGTGATCCACCCGCCTCAGCCTCCCAAAGTGCTGGGATTACAGGCATGAGCCACGGTACCTGGCCAATTCCACAGACCTTTCTTTTCCACTGAAAAAGGGAAAAGGTCCTCCTTGAAGGCAGGACCCAGTGTATGGTCAGCTCTGCAAGCTCCCGTGGGTTTTTACACAGAGCAGGCACAAGCTAAAATGCCTTATTGGCACAGGTCCTGGTGGCATCCAGGAAGAACCCAATGTGGCCTGGGTGCCTCGAGCCTTGCTTGGCTTCTCCTGGCCAGGAGACTCACCAATGTCCAAGATCCGGTCCCCGGGCCGGCTCCACCGCCAGCCCTCCAGCTGCTGGTGCTCCGTGTACTGCAGCCGGCGGTCATGGAAGACCACGCGGATGATGCTCTGGGGAGGGAGGCCAGCAGGGGACACGTGACTGTGCGGGCCAAAAGGAACCCACCTGCTTTCCCTGAGCCACAGCAAACCATCCACCTTGGAGGCCCCTCCCTCCTAGAGTTTCCTTTCCCAGTTCTCAAGCTTCACCCCACTTCCCCCTTCCTCAGACTCCAGTAACACTAACGATAGCAACAATAGTGATGACTACCATTTGTCCCAGTATCACTAAGTGCTTTATGTCTAATGTATTAGCCCTTTTGTGCAGATGAGCACAGTGAAGCTCAGAGAAGTTCAATGCTGCCAGCCCATCTAATCCCCACCTGGACATCAGGCTCCAGAGAAGCCAAACAGACGCTGCGTCTCACCGCTGAGGGCTGAGCTGAACCCGGCCTCTCCCTAACCTTCCAGCTACTCATGCCCAACCCCAGCAAGCCCAGGACCCACACCCTTACCAAGCCCGTCTCCCTGAGGCGGTAAGAATAGCCTGTGAGGCTTACCTTGACATATTTTGTGTTCAGATCTTGAAAGTCTCCCAGCTTCCGATTCTCCAATAGTCGGATTTCGTAAGACTGACCTGGATGGGGGTGAATGGGACATTTTCCATTTCTGAGTGTTTCTAAATTTGGGATTCATCCAGCTAGCAGCCTTCTCAACACCCTCCGTGCCCACCCAGGCCTCAAGGCCCTGAGAAGCAAGGCAGAGAAGAAAGCCCACAGCCAGCTCAGCTCACTCTCTGGACTGACGTCAGTCTGACCACCCTGCCTGGTCGGGCCTAGGATACCCCAGGCAACATACCGTGTGGCCCTACTAGAGACAGCACCTCTACAATCTTCAAAGAAACAGAATTCAGGAAAATACAGTTAGCATTAAAATCACTGAACACAAACTCATAAGCCTTTACAAACCCCCAATACACCACAGCTACTTAAATTCACATTACAGGGTAAATATCCAACCATACCCTTTCTGAGAGTAAGTCCGAAGGAATAAAGAAGCCTGTTAAACATTGTCTCTAATGGCAGAATGCAAAGCGTGTTCCCCAGTTAAAAGAATTCCATGTATTTGAAAGGGTATGGAGATTATATTCAGGGACACATAACCAGCACAGGCAGGTGAAAGGATATAAATGGAACCAACGTCCACCCATAATAACAGAACATTTAAAAGCATCTATGAAACCTGAAGGAAACTACACACATTTTATTGAAATATAAAATACACCATGAATAAATAGGATACACCATGCTCCCAGAAGGGAAGGCCATTGTATATAGATTATATATATATATATAGCTGCCAATTTTCCCCAAATTAAATGTTAAACTACAATTTTACAAGACTCTAGCCTATATCATAACTTAATAAAGGGTGTTTTAGAAATAATACAATAAATTATTTAATAATTTGTATGGTAAATCTAATTTGCTTTTTAAATTTTTTATTTTTAAAAATTATAGACTCTTAAAAAGTTATAAAAATATGGCCAGGCGTGGTGGCTCATGCCTGTAATCCCAGCACCTAGCTGAGGCAGGTCAATCACTTGAGGTCAGGAGTTTAAGACTAGCCTGACCAATATGGTGAAACCCCGTCTCTTCTAAAAATACAAAAATTAGCCATGGCGGCGTGCGATTGCAGTCCCAGCTGCTCGGGAGGCTGAGACAGGACAATCGCTTGAACTGGGGAGACGGAGGTTACAGTGAGCCAAGATCGCACCACTGTACTCCAGTCTGAACAACAGAGACTTGGTCTCAAAAAAAAAAAAAAAAAATAGTGCCTTGTGCCATGGAGAATGCGTACCTTGTGCCAGCATCCTCCATGACAGCATCTGATGGAACCACGGTACATTACCAAAACTACAGCCCTTTCTTTGATTTCTAGGGGTTTTGCACATTCCCTCTCTCTTTTTCTGTAGGCTTGTATGTGTATAGGTCTATGAAATTTTATAACACGTGGAGACTAGCTTTTTCTTTCAGAGTGCAGATCCTCACCGCAAATACCAAAACAAGTTATCACTGGATTGAAAAGTCAATTTCTTGTGGAGGAATAGGGACGATGTTGATCAAAGGATACAAATTTCCATTAGGTGGAGTAAGTTCAAGAGATCTATATACAACACGGTGACTATTGTTAATAACAATTCATTGTATTCTAGAAAATTGCTAACCATCTATTTCAAGTGCTCTCACACAAAAAAAATTATAAATGAGGCAATGCGTGTGTTACTTAGCTAGATTCAACCAATATACGATGGATACGTATTTCAAAACATCATGTTGCACATAATAAATATACACAATTCTTATTAGTCAATGTTTTTAAAAGTCAATTTCTTAAGGTTTTATTTTAACATGAATGACTATTATCAGACACTCAAGAAGGAAGAACGTTCTGAACCTAAAACCAATGAAAGAAAAGGATATCTGGCTACATAAAATGTAAGATGACTTACATGCATGAATGTGAAAAACTTAATGCAAACTAGGAAGAGCAAACCCCGTGGCTATGGGCCATTTATTTTATTTTATTTTTGAGACAGGGTCTTGCTCTGTCACCCGGGCTAGAGTGCAGTGGCACCATCAAGACTCACTGCAGCCTCAACCTCCCTGCTCCGGCTGTTCTCCCACCGCAGCCTCCCAAGCAGCTAAGACTATAGGCACATGCCAGCATGCCAGGCTAACTTTTTATTTTTTGTAGAGACGAGTCTTGCTGTGTTGCCAAGGCTGGTCTCGAACTCCTAGGCTCAAGTGATCCCCCTGCCCTGGCCTCCCACAGTGCTGAGATTATAGGCACGAGCCACCACCCCTGGCCAAGAGTCATTATATAGCTCAAAAAGCAATTGATAGTAGTACTAAGACACCCCTGTAGTGAGTTGAATGGTGGTCCCCTAAAAGATATGTCACATCCTAATCCCCGGAACCCAGACATGTGACCTTATATTGGGAATAATAGTCTTAGCAGATGTAATTAAGAGTCTGAGATGAGGAAGTCACCCTGTGATCTGGGTGGTCCCTCAATCCAAGTGTGCTTATAAGAAACACGAGCAGAGACAGAGAAGAGGGGAGGCACCATGTGACCACGGACGCAGAGACGGCAGTGACGGGGCCAACAAATATCGAAGCTGTGAGGTCTCCCCAAGATCCCCCTGCCGAATTTCTGACTGCTAGTCTCCAGAACCGTGAGAGAATAATATGTTTTTAAGTTAATGCATCTGTAATTAACACGTTTGTGGCAACCTGTTACAGCAGCCACAAAAAACAAATACACTCCCACCCTCACCAACGAATAACAGAATGGACAAAGAATACGAAATTTAATCATTAAATCATTCATTCCAAATGTTTGCTCACGCCTACAATCCCAGTGCTTTGGAAGGCTGGTCTCCAACTCCAGCCCTGGCAACACAGTGAGCTGCCGTCTGAGCAACAATTTTATGCCAAGTGCGGTGGGTGGGAATCCTAGGAACAGGGAAGGCAATGGAGCCACACGGCGTGGCGCGTTCCTGGAGTTCTCACCACAGCTCCCCACCAGCCACAACGCTGGCCAGGCACAGCCATGCCCACTGGGCCAGACTCCATCTCAGCCATTACGAAAAGTCTCTGGTCACATGCCAGTGAACACCTCTTGACCACGACAAACACCAGTGCTGCTCATGGTGATGTGCTGGGCGCCCTTCCCATCAGAGGGAAGAGGACCAAACCCCAAACTCTGGTCCTATCCACTTACCTGTTCAGGAGACGTGGCTCCTAAAAGGGTCTTCTGCCCTATTCAACATGACCAACTTTCTGAAAAAGCCAGATTGCACACATTTCCAGGCTCCTAAACCAAGAGTCCAACACTTCTTTGACATCGACATAAAATGTGCCTCACACACCCTAACTGGTTTTTCCAGTGTCCTCTGCCTTCGGTAGATAAAGAATGCAGACAGCTGCCCAACCAAGGTCCAGGTGGTCATTAAGTGAGTTTACGAGTGCCCTAGGGCCCAATTAGCACTGACCCCAGGCTCTGCAGGGAACCTCAGCTCCCGCCAAACAGCAGGCACCTCCTGTCCTGTAGAGAGCAATTTCCAGGCCTGCACAGAAGGGGCAGCCACTTGGAGAGTAAAGCCATTGAGTGAGGCGTTAGGCCCAGGATCACAGCTTCTCCTGGGCCAGGGATCGTGGCCACATGAGCCTTCTCCGTTAGCAGTGGAGTCCTGATTCACACACTTCACCACCAAATCTTCCTTTCTATCCATGCAGATGGACGTCCAGTCACCCTCTGCGTTCCTACCCCCATGCCAACACAAGTGGGCCCAGGCCGACCTCCCACCCGACTCACACAGCACAGTGCCATCCCAAAAGCCATGCAGAAGGTCACCACCCACAGTCACACACAGGCTGATGAGTAAGGTCACACAGGCTAAACTGACCTAGGGTACATGGGCATTTCTCTGCGGCCGGTATCACTGCTGGGCGTGGGTGGAGCCAGCACAGTGGGCCGTGAGAAGGCGCGGGTTGTGTCTGTTCTGCTCATCATTGCGCCATCTGGCACACAGTAGGCACTCAGCAAATGCTTCCATGTCATTTCACCCTCTTTACACTGCTACAGGGCTGCTCTCTGTTAGAATTACAGGGTTTGCCAAAGTGACACATTCCTGCCCTCAAAGGGTTGGCAATCCTCTGGGGTACATCAAACAGAATGGGAAGAGCTGTACTATAACATTTACAATTCCGTAAGAGGCAAAGGAGGCCCCAAAGTGAGCAACAGGCATCCAGGACGAGGCAGGGAGTGTCAGACAGGCTTGAACCAGGAGATGAGAAAACATGTGATATGGGCTTTGAAGAGTGGCCAAGATTTTTGCAATTCAGGGAAAGAATGATAAAGAAATCCCAAAGCCAGTCTGATGCGGTGGCTCACCCCTATAATCTCAGCACTTTGGGAGGCCAAGGCAGATGGATCACCTGAGGTCAGGAGTTCGAGACCAGCCTGGTCAACAGGCAAAGCCTTGTCTCTACTAAAAACACAGAAATTAGCTGGGCACGGTGGCGGGCGCCTATAATCACAGCTACCCTACTCAGGAGGCTGAGGCAGGAAAGTTGCTTGAACCCACGAGGCAGAGGTTGCAGTGGGCGAAGATCATGCTACTGTGCTTCAGCCTGGGCCACAGAGCGAGACACTGTCTCAAAAAAAAAAAAAAAAAAAGGAAGAAATCCCAAAGCAAAACACAGCCAGGCAGAGGGGGAGGAGTGCCTCTAGGGAACAGCAGCAAACAGCTCCACTCACAGGGCGCTTCTGTGTGGCAAAGCCCACTCAAGTAGTCACCCCCATGGCTCTCCAGCAGCAGTTAGGATCACTCACCCTACTGGATGGGGGAAGCAGAGGCCCAGAGAGGTTACCTGACTGGGGCAAGCTCACACAGCTCATAAGTGGCAGAGCCCGGATCAGAATCTGTCAGTTTCCAGAACTTAACCATACTCGCCACCTCCACCTTCTGGGTGTTACTTGCTGGGCACAGGACAGCTGTAGTTGTCCATGATTTCCTCTCAACCGCTCCTTTCTGGAAGGCATCCGCTTCCATTTTGCACACAGGTTCAT